ACCTATAGTCTCAACAGACACAGTCTCCTTCATGACTAGTACATGAAATAAATATTTACCTACAACACACACACACACACACACACACACACACACGAGATAATAAAGTCTAAAAGGCTTAGAATTACAAAGAATGTTTAATCAAAATTTTATAGGCAGGATTAAAGGAAAGGGTTAACAATTGGATCCTTTCCTCTAGCTTCACTGATGCCTATGACTAATTCAAAGAATAGTTAGGAGTATATCTACAATGGTTCCATGATAAATAATTTCTGGCCGGGTGCGGTGACTCCAGCCTGTAATCCCAGCACTTTGGGAGGCCGAGGCGGGTGGATTGCGAGGTCAAGAGATCGAGACCATCCTGGTCAACATGGTGAAACCCTGTCTCTACTAAAAAAAAAAAAAAAAAGCTGGGCATGCCTGTAATCCCAGCTACTCAGGAGGCTGAGGCAGGAGAATTGCCTGAACCCAGGAGGCAGAAGTTGTGATGAGCCGAGATCATGCCATTGCACTCCAGCCTGGGTAACAAGAGTGAAACTCCATCTCAAAAAAAAAAGAATTTCTAGCCAAGGATTTGTACTAGACCAAGACTTGTACCTCATCATTAAAATTATTTAAATTATTTATTAAGAAATGAGGAATCTATATTGATAAGATGCAGCTGCATAAGAGAAGAGGGGCTTCTCCTGTATCCCTGAAGAGGCTGCTTGATAAGCTATGTAAAAGTTCAATCCTGGGGCTGACAGATTCCCTAATTTGAGATGGTCTATCCATCCAGCTTCATCTCTCATCATCATGCATGTATTAAGTGTGAAGTAACTGACAAATTCCAATCTGTGCCTGGAAAAAACTTTTTCTATGTTGTTATTGTCAAATTCAAATCTGTGCCTGGAAATCATAAAACCTATGTTTTCTATGTTATTGCGCATGCTGCTTTCTTCTTCGTCCGTATCTATTCCTAATGTTAAATTAACTGAAAGCTAGTGAAGCCTATTGTGTTTAGTGAGTTTGATTGTTGTTCCAAACCCAAGACCACTGCTGCAGAATGGGCATTACACGAAAATATCAACTGATTTCTTATATACCTGAAATAATCAATTAGAAGGTACACTGGAAAAGAATATCCTTTAACACAAACAAAACTATAAAACAATGCTAGCAAGAAATGTACATCAATATTTAATGATGACAAAGGCGAAGTGAGATAAGCATTTTCTAACTCTTCTCTGGCAGGTTCACACCTTATAATCCCAACACTTTGGGAAGCTGAGGTAAGTGGATCCTTTGAGTCCAGGAGTTTGAGACCAGCCTGGGCAACATAGGGAGACCTCATCACTACAAAAGAAAAAAAAAATTTAACTAGCAGGGTGTGCTGGTGTGTGCCTGTGGTCCCAGACAGTGGGGAGCCTCTGGTGGGATGATCACTGGAGCCCAGGTCAAGACTACAGGGAGCCATGATCGTGCCACTGTGCTCCAGCATGGATGACAGATCAAGACCCAGGAAGGAAAGAAGGAAAGAAGGAAGGCAGGGAGGGAGGGAGGGAGAGTGAGGGAAAGAGAAATCCACTATAAGACTCTCTTTCTGGAAAAAATAATTTGATATTTATTTCAAACAACATTTAACATGTTCCTGTCTTTTCGACCATTCACTTTATTGGCAAGAATGTATCTTAATGAAATAATTAAGGTCTAGAAAAATATTTATTGCCAAAACTACTCATCATAGTATCGTAATAAAAAAATTTGAGGTACATAAATATAACATATTAATAACCATTAAGAATTACGTTTTGATGAAACATGGCTTAGGGTTAGATTCAAGATATAAAGCTAAAAGAAAAAATAATACAAATCTGTATGCAGACGAGAATCCAACTGTGTTACACACACATACACCATACTCAAACATACACTCTGGAAGGAAACACACTGAAATATGAAGCATGTTATTTCAGAGAGGCAGAATTATGGCTAATCTTTGTTTTCTTGTTATACCACTAAAGTTTAATCTCCATGAGAGCAAAAATCACATCTGTCTTGTTCACTGCTATATTCTAAGCATGCCTCATATATAATGTGTTAAATAAATACAACTTAATTAATGAACATTTTTCTCTTTTCATTTTCTAAAATGATTATTTTCTAGTAGGTCAAATTTCATCATTATTAAAAAATGTGTGTGTGTGTGTGTAATCTATACTTGAATAAATTCTATCCACTCATTTGTAAATGGGTTAATTTCTGCATATGAGAATTTAGACATAATCTAATTCAAAATATTTTCCTCCTGAATTCAAACCTGTACACCCAGAATATCACAGTTTTGTGAGTTATTTCCTTGGCTCAACAAAGAATATTTAGGAAATATGCATATTTCCTGAATCTTTTTGACTTTATATTTTCCCCATTCCTCTTCATTTTCACACCAAACATACAGTAAGTTAGATAAGTAGATAGATAATGTTTTTCAGAGAAATCAACATTGGGCATTTATTAAAGAAATGTTTTCACAGAGATACAGATTTTTGTTTTATAAATAAACATTTAAAATATATTTAAAATGAAGCTCTACATGATTATCAGGATTACTGTATTAGACTGTTCTTGTATTGCTATAAAGAAAAACCTGATATTGGGTAATTTATTAAGAAAAGAGGTTTAATTCGTTCATGGTTCTACAGGTTTTGCAGGAAGCATGGTGCTGGCATCTCCTCAACTTCTGGGGAAGCCTCAGAAAACTCACAATTATGGCAAAAAACAAAGAGAGAGCAGGCAGGCCATGTGGCCAAAGCAGGAGCATGAGAGAGAAAGTCATACATGTGGTAGGCCAGGGGAAAGGGGGGTGCCTGCCACACACTTTTAAATGACCAGATCTCACTATCACAAAGATAGCACCAAGCCATGAGGGATACACCCCATGATTCAAACACCTCCTGCCAGGCCCCACCTCCAACACTGGGGATTATAATTCAACAGGAGATTTGGCAGGGACAAATACGTAAACTATATCAGTTACATAAAAATAAGAAGATTCACAATCAAAATTTTATTCACTAATACATGTAATCCTCTAGGAGAAACAATAGGTCCAACAACAGATATTGACAAAACTCTCTGACTGCAATGGTGGAGGCTAAACTAGTGTAAGCACAAAGGATATTTAATGATTTGCTGAATCAGAAAACCATAGATACATATAGCTTCTGGCACAGTGAAATCAAGGGATGTCTGTCTCTCTATTTCATGATTGTTACTCTACTTAGCTACAATCTACACACAGGGTATCATCATGTGATAGTCAAGATGGCTACCAGCAAATCAACCACATCTTTCCTGCTTAAAATCTCCAGTTCATTATTTCTAGAAACAGAATTTCCCTCTCTAAGTCCACATGGAATACTCTGATCAATTCTATGGAATAGTCTGCTTGGCCCTTACCCATTGTCGGTCAACTCAAGGTTAAGAGTGCAGTTCTCCAGATTACCAAGTCCATCATGACACCAACTGCGATGAGTCTACCAAAGTGCAAAGTCAGAAGGAACAGTTCCTACAAGACTGACCTCATTTTGGACAGCAGCCACAAGTTTGGGGGTCCCCAGGGCGACCCTCACTTTAGACCATCTGACTACAAATTTGGTAGATCCAATGATCACCCTCAGGTTCAATAATTTGTTACAACGCCTCACAATACTCTGGAAAGGATTACACTTACGATTACATTCTTATAATAAAAGGATACAAGTAAGAACCAACCAACAGAAAAGATGCACAGGGTGAAGTCTGGGAGGGATCCTGATGTGAAGCTTCTGTCATCCTTAGAGGTGCATTACCCCAGCAGCACTAACATATAACAAAACCCAAACTTCTGAGTCCTAAGTTTTTATTGGGGTTTCATGATATAGGCCTGATTGACTAAATAATCATCCACAAAGTTTAATTTAATTCCAGCCCTCCACACTCTCTAGATGTCAGTCTGACATCATGTGGTCTGAAAGGCCTACAGAAGTCACCTGTATGGATGAACATACATCACCAGTTATGGTCCAAGCTGTGCACCATGAATACCAAAGACAATCTCAGCAGGAAATGCAAAGGATCAGAAGTTTCCTCTCAGGAACTGGAATCAAAGGCCAGACCTCTATTTGAGCTGAGGCCAAATTCTTTACTACACAGTCCTACTTGTGTATCCCTAAAAGAATAAATCATTAAGGCTTCATTAATCAAATAATCTGATTGGCCAAACTGGATCGTGTTTATATCTCAATGGTGAAAATACAAGGTGCTAAAGAGGAAGTTCCCGGAAGGTACCGTAAGAAGAAAGCTAGAACAATATGCATAAATGACAGATACAACCTGCAGCCACAGTTGTCCACAATTGGTTATAAATATTACCTCATTACCTAATGATATTCATACTTAAAAAATTATGGGAGTCTCAGGGAAAGTAGAAAAATTTATTCTAAACATCACAGGACTAGAAACCAAAGAGAAATCCTTCTAAGTAAAACATTAAACATGCATAAAAGAAAGCTATTTGAAGAGTATGGTTTCAATACATATCTGTTTGTTTTGTTGTGGTGGTGGTGGTGGTTGTTTTTTAAGACAGTCTCCCTCTATCACCTATGGAATGTAGTGGTACAGTCTCAGCTCACTACAACCTCTGCCTCCCGGGTTCAAGCAGTTCTCCTGCCTCAGCCTCCCGAGTACCTGGGATTAAAGGCACCAGCCACTATGCCTAGCTAACTTTTGCTTTTTTAGTAGAGATGAGGTTTTACCATGTTGGCCAGGCTGATCTCAAACTCCTGATCACAAGTGACCACCCACCTCAGCCTCCCAAAGTGCTGGGATTACAGGTGTGAGCCAATGCACTCAATCCATGTTTCCTTGTAGCATAAACTTTATATCAGGAATACACTTTTTCTTTTCTTCTTTGTTTTCAACCATAATGCCTAAAAAATACAACTGTTTTTGTCAAAGAAAAACATCATTATAAGCCTCAGTTTTCTTATTTGCAAAATGAGGCTATTTATTTACCATACAGGATTTTTAAGAAGATTAAAGGAAATGTTTGCTAAGTACCAGTAACGACATCTAACATCTGATAGCGTCAAACTGATACTTGTTGCTGCTGCTGCTGCTCCAAATGAAACGCCACGATTCATATATAGGAAGCAAGACACCAAATCAGAATGCTCGTTACCTAGGAGAAGCGTAACTCAGAAGAATCATTTCTTAGTGCTTCAGAATGACATCACTGCTAGTCCATAACGGAAAGAGACTTCACCTGGGAAACAAATGTTCTGACATCAGCCACTTTTCTACCACCTTTCATGCTGAGCAATCATGGTTAAGACATTTTACCTCTGTGGACCTCAACTATTTCATTTGTAAGGTGCAAATAATTACAGTACTTTCTTTACTATCTTACAAGATTCTTCATGTGAAGTGTTGAGAAAACATTATGTGAAAAGAGTACCATTATTAGTTTGATGACTATCTTTTACTTTGTCCCTACAAAGAAAAGTTACCCAATTAAGTAAAATATGTAAATCTCAGTGCTTGCATAATTATATTGAGATAAAAGTTATTCTCTTTACAACTCCCCAAACATGAACAATACCTTGCATGTATAGATAGATAGCTGTAAGCTTGTATATTCAGCCGAATCTATAGCAGAACTAACCAATGCCATTAGTTTCAACTGGAATATTAACACTAGCACAGTATGGCAGAATTATGAACACCGTTTTACAAACACCCAACGTCCAAGTTCCTTGGAACAAGGAACAAGTTTTGTTATACTAAGGATTACATGATTTAAACAGTCACTTTTACCCTGAAAGTCTTAAAAAAAGAATGTCTAATTCATGACCAAAGAATAATCTAGTCCCTGAGAAAAGCTTCCTCATTAATATAGCATCTTCCCTTTTCCAGCTGCAAATGTCAAAGGGCTATGCTGATGTAATTTTCCACATGGCCTAAGAGTCATAGTACTTCAATGACATTGCTTCAAAGCCAGACTCCCAGCCTGGACATTTTCAAGCCATCTTTGACTCCTCCATCCCCTCAAGCCCTCCCATTCAATCAGTTGTCAAGTCTCTTGAATTTTTTCTTAAACTATCCATCACACGTATTTCTTTATGTCCATTTGCTCTGCCACCATCACAGTCTAAGTCATCAGCATTGGCCAAAACTCCATTGTCTCCTCCAGTTTCTTCTCCCTTCAATCCAGTCTAAAAGTTCATACCCATAGATCTCCCTAAGTACTATTTACATCCTGCCACATCCTTACCCAAGAGTCTTATAATCCAGGCAATTATTTGATTCCACAGGAGAAGATTTTAAAAACCATTGATACCTAAGCTGTACCTGAAGAGGTTCTGATTTAATTCATCTGCGCTGGAGCTCAGTCACTAATTTTTCTTTAAAAGCTCCTCAGGTGCTTCTAATGTGCAGCCAGTGACAAATCTCTGTTGCCTATCACATCAGGCTAGAATTCCCGTAGCAGACCCTGCCAGAGCTCTGCTCAGATTCCTTCCCATCTCCCCTTTGACCTTTCTGTGTGTCCATCCCCTGGCATCATTGTGTTTTGCTTCTAATTGCCCACGGTACCTGATACTTTCTTCTGAGCTACTTTATCCCTGGAAGTTTACCAGGCCTTGGAATAGCCCTTAGTTAATACCTAAAGTGGAAGTGTGAATACCTGGCTCCCTTGCCTGGGTCTGCATATACTCTGAGGTGTAATTTATACTTGAGAACTCCCTGGCATGATCAGGCTGAGACTAAGACTTTGCCTAAACATACACACACCCTTGCTTGGCTTCCTCCCCTTCCCTCCATTCTTTTATAAATCTCATCTGGAAGCACTTACTTAAGAAATCACTTGCTCAAATACTCATCACAGGATCTGCTTATGAAGAATCCAAGCTAATAAAGTGCTAATAAAGTAGCACCTTTATTAAAACAGTGCATGGTCCCACCAAGTTTTCTACAATTACCCATCAACCACCGGAAGAACTAGTTTCCTCATGACCTGTGCTTATTTCACACTACTCTTTTAGCCTATTTCACCCAACCCCTGGTGCCTCTTCCCTGCCTCTGAGACCATCCATACTTCCCACCTTTCAAAAACAAGCTCTAGATATCCCTCTACCCCATGCATAGGTCAAGGGCATGCCCATGTTACATCCTGAAGAATCATGGATTGCACTGGTGATTCATCCTGCATGAAACTTACTGACAACTCTAGCACATATAATGCTGTCTCCTCTAACTTCTTCCATATTTCATGTCAAATCCACGCTCGTCCATTATTTCATTCAACCAGTATTTGTGTGATTACCATGTACCAGGAACTGTGTTCATCCTGGGGAATTAAATGATAAGTGAGGATATTTCTGCCCCCATGGAGCTTATAGTCAAGTTAAGTGTACAGACTTTAGCAAATAATCATTCAAATATATACTAATTTATAACAATGAAAAACTAAGGAGAGACATACGGTGTTATGAAATAACATAGGAGTTGTAAATGTCCTTATCTAGGACTTCTCTGAATAAATAACGAAGAAATGGTGACCTAAAATTATACGCCTGTTCTCTCTGTTAGGGATTTTCCTTGGATCTTCCCCTGCCAAAACTGCATACAAATTATGTGTGACTGTGTATTATTCTTTCAATAGATTATCAAGGGTCTATGAGCCCAAATTTCATACAATACCAATCTTGTAGATAAACAATGCCTTGTTTATTAACTGTCTCCTCTATGTGCCTTGTTTGTGGGTCCCTGTTTACGGAAATGTTAGCATTTTTCTTTCTTTCTTTTTTTTAACTCTGTAGTTCAAAATGTTAGCATTTTTCTTTCGTATCTGATATCATTTAGCATAATTCAGACACACGCTTATCATTTAACAAATATTTGTTTTCCTCCCTGTTCTCAGCCCTTTGCCAAAGAACTCAGACTCTCAAAAACAAATAGAAAAGTGTCTTTATTTTCTTACTGAATTAGAGCCCATTTTGAGTAGCTCTGTGGATGGGGTGAAAATGATTATCTTGCTTTTGTTTGGGTACCGGGAAAGTACCGGGAAAACAAGAGCAACAAAATAGGATTTGTATGTTAAAACTTGCTTCTGTTAGACTAGTGCCAAACAATTGTCACACATTGCTTCTCGGTTCTTTCTCTTCAGGGAATTAACACTTTATTCTAAGAACTCCCTGCTGCTTTCCCCAATCCCCAAACTCTAACTACTCTAAAAAGACCTTATCAGGTAAAAGCAGAAAACATTCATTTCTTACACAAAAAGATGAAAGCTGATTACTTAATCAATTATATTAATCAGTTTTTTAGAAAAACAAAATGGAAATTAAAATTTCATTTCTAATGCCAATAGAAAACATTTGTGACTATATATGCACTTAAAATGGGTCTCATATGTGTATGCACTAAAAAATAGGCATTTATAGATGCTAGAAATATGCTTTTGATATGTATATTAATAAATGTATTTATGGTGTTACATATAGATAATGGTATATGTAAGTTATAATTTCTTTTTCACATTAATATGCAAACAGAAATTAATAAATAAGATTATAACAGATTCCTATATATGCCTAAAGCACTGTTAAAAATGTAACAGTTTCAACAACTTGTACCTGAATCTCAGTGATGGTGTGAAATATGCAAAACTTAGAAGCCACAAAAAAATATTAAAACAATGGGATATAATAATTAATTGAATAATCAAAGGACGAACAAGTCTTTAAGTTTATTGCATACACCCATCAAAGATCTAAAGAAAGAAAAATATTTCTATAATTCCATATTCTCATTTTATGCTTTTCTTAAATATCAAGCCCACTAAGTTTCAAAGACAGGCTGTTAATGAAATATCCTGAACAAATGATACTATACACAAACATCAATATTTAGATAGATTGCTACTCTGGAATGGTCCAGGAACCAAATGCCAGATTTATTTTTTTCCCGATAGGTTACCAAACCTTGTTACCCAGTCCCCCTGCTTAGCACTTCCATCACAGGTGTGCGACAAAGGGAAAGAAAGTTAGATGTAAAAAGATTGGCACTTAATAACAACACAGGAATAAAGGCTGATCGAGTAGGCTGAAATCCAAAGTTCATTCTCAAAGCAAGATTTGATTTATAGTTTTTTACTGGTTAGTTTCCCTTTCTTGTTAGCATATGTGATTGAATGTATGCTAAGTACTTACATGTTAGAAACCAAGCCTCAAAGATAACTCCAAGAAGAGAGTATGAAATACAGAATTACCTTCCCACTCAGGAAATGATGACAAGGAATGAGGGAGTCCATACTAATATTGCCATCTATTGATTCTACTTTGAGGGGGCCTTTTGGCCTAAATCAGTGGTTCTTAATATTTTTATACTCCCAGAAGCATCATACTCTCATGGAAATACGGGATTCTCCATGTTTACCCTACCCCCTTTTCTGCTGTTTCAATTGGAGTAAATGAAAGATGATTTTACTGTAATGCTAGCTTTGATTGAGCTCTCATTTTTAAAATTAAAATTTAATCTTAAACATCGGTGTTTTAATTTTTTTTTTTTTTTTTTTTGAGACGGAGTTTCGCTCTTGTTACCCAGGCTGGAGTGCAATGGCGCGATCTCGGCTCACCGCAACCTCCGCCTCCTGGGTTCAGGCAATTCTCCTGCCTCAGCCTCCTGAGTAGCTGGGATTACAGGCACGCGCCACCGTGCCCAGCTAATTTTTTGTATTTTTAGTAGAGACGGGGTTTCACCATGTTGACCGGGATGGTCTCGATCTCTTGACCTCGTGATCCACCCGCCTCGGCCTCCCAAAGTGCTGGGATTACAGGCTTGAGCCACCGCGCCCGGCCGGTGTTTTAATTATTAATGGCAAACTATCTGCTACACAGTTCATGAGTGACGAAGATTGATCAATATGTTGATAGTCCGAAGGAGACAGTTGCTGGCCTTAAACAATTAATAACTAACTTCCCTGTTCTAAGCAAAAGACTATAAGTATCTTGTATGATATCACAGAAGTGATAGAATATGTAGCCATTTCATCCCCTATTTGAGAACTCTTTTCTCTGGAGCTCTTCTAATACATGTGACAACAGGTATTAAAACATTATCATAATTTTTCTTTCCTCCATGCTGACAGTTTTAGTCATGGTGAGGGAAGTGAAGTTGATAGTAATCACAGTAGAAGGGAGACAGGCTTATGAATAAGAGGAAGGAAGTTTCATGTATGTATTGTATAAGCAATATGATTGTGGATGTCTGCTACAAAACCATGTCTAGAGGTCAGAAAAATGGCAGTTTGGCTGTGCCTCAAGAAAGTTCACTGGGCTGTCACTGACCAGGAAAGTTTCACTGAAGTCACTGAAACACTTAGGGACAGGCCCTAAGTGTTTACTTCACTCCGTTGTCAGCCCAGTGCTTGCGTTGTTCAAACAGGATCTACACTTGGGTGGCTTTCACTATGCAAATGAAACTACCCAAGAATTTTTTATTAACAATAAATTTTTAATTGGCATATTAATCCCCACTCCCTACCCCTACTCACAAGCCAAGGCACTCCTCCAGTGACTACCATTAAGCCTTTCGTAGAATTCCAAACTTGGAGAGATTTCTAAAAGAGAGAAGGATTGAACGCCATGTGGGATTTAGCCAGAGCTGTCACAGCTCTGGTTGTTACCCCTCATAATCCATCCTGCTGAATCAAAAAGCAAACTGTGAACAAACAGCTTAGGCAGTTTGTTTGAAGATACACTCCTGTCTTTCTAGGAGGGATTAAATCATGGCGACATTTTGTTTGAAAAATTATTATCCACATGAAAATTTTTAAATTCATGTGGCATCTATTTGAGTCAAAATGTTTTATAACTTCTCATCTCTGGATCACAGTGACAGTAATGCTATAGTTTTTATACGGAAACAAGCCCTCTCCACAGTCGTTCACAACATTGTCAGATTTTTTGCATTTGCCCCAATAATACAGGAGATGTTGACTTTTAAACAATAAGGATTCAGACTCTGCTTTTAAAAAAGAATCACAGCAGTGTAAGATGTGGAGAGAAGGGGATTATTTTTAGAATTTAATCCAAACACTGGGCCTCATGAAAGCTACGTTCATGCCCTGTTGCAACAGGGGAGAGAGATTAGGTGGCTGAGAGCTGGAATAAAAAGGGAAGAATAAAACCAGCCCTGTGATACAGTTCAGAAGTAAAGTGTTTTCCCATTGAATGGAGTGATGGTAAATGGATCTAAACCTGGGAACACAATATCTCTTTATGCACTTAAGCATTCTGCCTTCTTTGTATCATGAAATACTGAATTTCTCATACTCAAAGTACTTTTGGCATTCAAGTAATTCTTTCACCAAGATGATGATGGGAGGGAGGTAATTCAACAAACATTAAATGGTCACTCCATGTCAAGTACTATAGTTGGTCTTGGATTAACAGGATTAATAAAAATGTTGCCCCTATCTTCTTTTCGTTTTTTCCATACCTGTCTGCAAGAGCCCCTGTCTTTTTGAGCTCTCTGTCTAGTAAGGCAGACAGAAGGTAAACAGTACATTGCTAAGCTCTACCACATAGAATAAGGATAATCATTAAGTAGAACAAATAAGCTGAACTCCATAGCATGCAGGGGAAAATTTTCATTCGTTCCCCTCACAGACCCCTTATAACCAATCTGGAGACTTATTTTTCTCTTGCCTTTTGAAGGAAATACTAGGTGAGGGAAGGTCCCAGATGTTCTTAACCATTCTTTAAGTAATTCGTAGTGCCACGAATAATCTAGCTCAGTAATTAAAACGTCCTGTAAGATGTATTCATCAAAACACCAACTTCACTTGAAGTTAAAATGTCTTCCTTCTTCCAAAATGGTAGTGCTTTTAGGCAGGGAGACCTAGAGTGGAAAAGGAGAGGATATGACCTTTTCTTCCATTGGCCCAACTTGCAATTTCTTACCCATCCAACCCCATCTCCACACACAAAGCTGTTTACTTCACTTCATTGTCAGCCCAGTGCTTGCATTGTTCAAACAGGATTTACACTTCAGTTGCTTTCACTATGCAAATGAAACAACCCAAGAATTTTTTATTAACAATAAAGTTTTTCATTGGCATGTCCATGCTTTCATCTAGGACGGAGTCAGGGAAAGAGTGGAGAAGGAAGTATCAGGAAATGTCTTAACTTGATTGACGCTATTGGAACCCGAATATAACAGATTATTTCTCTCAGAAACAGTTTTAATTTATTTATCCCACAAATATTAATGGGACACCAATCACTTTCTAGGCACTGTTCTAAACACTGGAGGAATGTAACAAGAAACTCAAAGTTCCTGATTGCATGGAGTTTATAATCTAGTAAGGGCTATAAGCAAGTAAACTGTATATAGTATATACATACATATATATATATATATACACACATATAAAACATATTATATTTAAAATATGTCAGACAGCAGCAAGTACTATGGAGAAAAATTAAACCAGATAAGAGAGATAAGAAGTGGGAAAAGGTAAGTGCTATTTTACTTAAGGTGGTCACGAAAGCTTTCTCTGATAAGGTGATGCTTGCATAGAAATCTGAACAAAATGGAAAGATCTGGCCAGGCAGATGTCATGGTACAGAGCATGCTGGCCTCAGGGAGCAACAATGGCAAAGGCCCTGTAGTAGGCACATGCTTGGTACTTTGAAAGAATAGCAAGAAGACCAGTAGTACTTATTCTACTAGAGTAGAATAAGTAAAGGGAAGATTCTGGAAATGGGTCTACAGAAATAGAGGGAAGTTAGGTCATATAGAAGGTACTCAAAGGCTACTGGGCTTTTTTTCTGAGTTGAAAAAGAAGCTTCTGAAAGTTTTGAGCAAGGAAGTGGCATAATATATATTTGAAAAAGATCACTCTGGCTTCAAGGTGCAAGCATGGAACCAGGAGGACAATTAAGATGCTGCCACAAGAATTCAGGCAAGAGATGATGGTGGCTTGATCAATTAAAATAGATGACAAGGAAGGAGAATTGGACAGATCCTGGATCTATTATAAAGGATCTGATGATGGACCAATTACAGAGTATAAGAAAGAGAAAGAAGTCAAAGTTGGCTCCAGAGTTTCTTGCCTGAGAAACTCAAATAAAGATGTTGCCATTTATTGAGATAGGAGAAAATGTGAGAGGATAAGATTTGATCTTAAAAAGAAACAAACACAAGGGTTTGGTTTTGTACATATTAAGTTTAGCTGCCTTTTTGACATCTAAAATGAATACAAAAGTACACTGTTTGATACGAAGTTGGAGTTCAGTTCAGAGACATTCAGCCTCATCAGCATATATTAATATATAGTATTTACAAACATAGAAAAGGCAATTGTGTGAATAGAGAAATGTCAGGCCAAAAATATGAAAAAGAATACTTGATACTGCATTTAAAATACCTGCAGTTGTCAGGAAGAAATATAAGATAATCAATGAATCAAATATCACCTTTAAAGATTATTTAATTAAAATATATAAATGTGAAAAGTACATAACATTTTATATCTGATTTTAATGTTAATCATAAATCTTGGAAACTAAAATGTTAGATGGTCACTTAAACAATTATCAAAAAGACTTTCCAACTAAAGAGAAAATGTTTTAAATAAATGCTTAAAATAAACCCTCAGAGTTGCTCATAGTTGAACCTTGAAATCAGTTCCTATTACTGTCATTAAAGATGTAATGTCACGGCCGGGTGCGGTGGCTCACGCCTATAATCCCAGCACTTTGGGAGGCCGAGGCAGGTGGATCACGAGGTCACGAGATCAGGACCATCCTGGTCAACAAAATGAAACGCCATCTCTAGTAAAAATACAAAAATTAGCTGGGCATGGTGGCACGCGCCTGTAATCCCAGTTACTCGGGAGGCTGAGGCAGGAGAATTGTTTGAACCCAGGAGGCAGAGATTGCGATGAGCAGAGATCGCACCACTGTACTCCAACCTGGGTAACAAGAGCAAAACTCCATCCCAAAAAAAAAAAAAGATGTAATGTCACTAAAATATTTTATAACGTTCCATATCATGTAATTCATTTTTATCATTGTGCTTTAAAAAACATAATAATATAATTATCTCCTGTGATATCAAATTACAATTTTGCTTCTCTTGGCAGTGATAACACAGTATAAATATATACAAATGTGAAATTAGAGATTTTACTCCTTTTGATATGTTCTAAGAGGATACCTTCAGATTCAACTGTCAAATAAAGCTCTATCATTCATGCTTTCATGTTGCATGATTACTGCCACTAGTATACCCCAAGTGGGACAAAGAATTAATATCAGTCTATCAAACATCTCAAGTGTTCCTTGTTTTAAGAAAAATAAGAGCTAGATTCTCACTGCTGGAAAAAAAAGAGAAGAGAGAGAAAGAAAGAAAGAAAACTAAAATGAACACAGTGGTGTTGGATATTTGGTAGTAATTTTAGCTATGGGTGTGAATTCATAGTTTTCAATGTATATAGATAGGTACAGAAATGTAGATAATACATATGATAGAGAGAGAGAGAGATACAGAGAGAGAGAGATAGAGAGAGAGAGAGATGATAGAGAGATAGATAGAGAGAGAGAGAGATAGAGAGAGAGAGAGAGAGAGATAGAGAGATAGATAGAGAGATAGAGAGACAGATAGATCTGTACACTGAGAAAGCATGAGAGCACTGATACCCTAATAGCAATGAACATAATTAGTATCCATATATGGGCTTCTAAATATCATTCTCCAGCAAATGAAAGCAGGGTATCTTAGAGAAATGGCTAGTTCTAGGATTTGTGCAGGAAAAATACAAGATGGCTCAAACACATATTGCTGGATAACAAAGTAAGAAAATGTTCAAACAATGATGGGGATGTGTCAAAAGGACCCAGACGTCAGTTCGAAGGGGCTCCTACTATTCAAACATATGACAACGTGAACATCAAAAGAAATAATTACAGTAACAGATTATCATTAACTAAATAAAATTGAAAACATGAGTCTATATGAATATAAATGAATTAATAAATGAAAGATTTGATGAATAACAAAATATTTATAGTCTCAACGTATGCAAAACAGTAATTACAAAAAAGATGAGAGAACTTTACAATGTTAAAGTCTAGTAGACAATACTTAACAAGCAATTAAACTGAAAAACATCAGAAATAGGATTATAAATTATGTATCACCTGATAGTGTAAAATGAGAAGTTAGACTAACTGGTATGCTATTTATACCAAAGGCATATATCATTAAACTAAACATGAGGAAATATCAGACATACACAAATTGAAAGGCATATTTAAAATATTAACAGCTGGCATGTCATATTTAACACTCAATGAAAGTAAAGCACCAACTGTTGATTTTTGTTTTAACTCATACCTTTCAAGGAATTCCCAAAGAATGTTTATAGCTGACTTGGAATTTGTAACCTCAGCTCTGGGAGAGGATTTTTTCTGAACGATTATTGTCTAAAGTGTGTTGTTGCTTTAGGGTCACAGCATGCTTGTGTATGTCTGTTACCATGTCACTGTGGTCTTATGCCGAGTGCCCTTAGGGGACTTGAATCTTTCCAATAGACCATGTTTGAGATAGTTGAGTCACTGTGCAGTGTAGCCCACACTTGAGGGGATGGATGTATGTTCACTGTGCGCTGTCATTTTGCGCTGGGTCAAAGTAGGTTCTTGTTGTTTTCTCTGTGCTTGTTCCTACAGCCCCTTTTTCTTATGTTGCTCAATCTCCCTTTCCCTTCTTGGTGCTTACACATCTCAGACCCTTTGGCCAAACCCTTGCCAATAACAGTATTTTGGTTCTCAGTTCTCACTGTTCCCTCTGGTCGAGGATCCTTTGAATAAAAATGCACATAGCTATGGAGTGGGGTTTTGCTGGAAAAGGTGACCTTCCAACTTCTTGTCAACTTCTGGCTCCTCAAACTGTAGATTGGCAGTAAGGCAGGGAAGTTGATTTCCCATTTCCCACTGAGCAGATTGTGAACATTTCTATATGAATTTTCTATTTTTAATGTTACTCTGTTTCTTTGTTTTAAAATAAAAATTCTAAATGTACACCAAAAAAATCGAACAAACAAAAAGAAAGTAAAGCACCAACTGAGTCTGTTCAAGACTGAGAAATAATACTTCTCATTACATTATTGTTCAGTTCTTTTTACCACGTGCATTTATTTTCTATTCAAACTATATATATATACAATTTTTAAATAAATAATAATATATATTTCTTTTTTGTAAGCAGCTCCATTTATTTGAGTAAATAGCTTGTAAATAAATTATTGGTAAACAATACAAAATTAAATACATTTTCAAAAGCTTACCATTATATGCAGAATTCACAAACATAGTTTCTTTAAAAAATAAAATATGCTCAGAGCACCTTTGACATAAAATGCCTGACCCCCATCCTTGAACAAGGCCACCTGGAGATATCTTACAGTAGGTGGGTTTCTGTGGGAGGCAGCAGGGGCCTCCTGGAGTGAAGGGAGAGTTTCTACTCTCACCTATTACCCATCCCACATCCCATCTGAATTTGTATCCTTCTCCAAAGAGCTGGAAACTGAGAGGGCTAGAGCACATCACCAGGCTTAGCTCCAAGCACAGGGATCAGGGTGTACAATTAGGGCCAGAAGCACCCAGAGTCCTCAACACAAGCCAGTGAGAGAAGCCAGAAATGCAATCACCACACTTCCAAACCAGCAAGTTGGCTCCTATAGCAACCGTCTTGAGAGAATGTGAGGCTTTCTTGCCTTGACATTAACACTCAGTTTACATGCACTGGTCTGATGTAACCCAGGCATGGAAGCTACCAGAATCTATTTCTAAGGAAGAAGACACTCGATCTGCTAACTTCCTCTTGATCTGCTTTCCTGGAGAGAGAATAATACACTGTTTTGGGTTGAAAGCAGACAATTCATTGCTACACAGTGCTTCCTTTTTCCAATGCAAGATACCACTTAGATAGTGTGAGCATTTCTCTAGAAATCAAGTTAGTTCTTCAAATGAAGGGTTCATAAAACTTTAAAAGACCACAGATGAGGCAATAAGCACATGACCTGGCAAAGGTGAAATAATAGACATCTCATAAATTAAGCCCTTGACCAAGTTAACATTTCTGTTGTGTAGCACATTAAAATAACGGATTCACTGAATTCTTTCATTTTGGTGCATAAAGTGAATGTTGAAGTCAGCAGCACTCAATGAAGATTGCCTAGTGGCCTCTTGAAAACACGTGTGCAATGACCTGCAGTTAAAGGACGACCACGGGTTTATTCCATCCATGGGAAATAAACTCACACCCACATTTTAACTTAGTTGTGTGTAGATATATACAAGTACAAGAAATTTGACAGCTGAGTCAAATGTACGACTTAAGGAAAAAATATTACCAAACTAGTTGTAAGAAAACTATCTTCCCTGTATCATAAGGCACTAAACATCTGAGTCCTTGCAGAAAATGCAGCCTGGCAAGACCCTTCCTTGAGTGTCCACCTGCTTTGATAATCCTTGGTTGGGCATTGGCCACAGTCATAATATCTTTGCTATTAAAATACTACATTAACGAAAACCTTTAAAACCAAAAAAGAAACACTTTGAATAAACATCCAATAGACCCCCCCACCTTCACACCAAAAAAAACTTTGTTCCTAAGGACACCTATTCTTTCACAAAAGTCTTCATGAAGTACAAATCCCAGGACCCTCTTCGTCTCCGGGAGAGTTCCACCCTGTTCCAGAATCATACACTCTTCTTCTGTGGAGGGCTCAGTTTCCTCATGCCTCTTATCCGAGAAAGCAGCTCTTTGATAAATTCCTCTGTTGGTTTGTAGCAGTCTACAAGAGCTTCCTGTAACTTTGAAGCTCTCTCTTCATCACTGTCTGCATCAAGAAGATCATCAATGTCAGTTTCTACCTCTGGCACTTCTTCCTCCTCGCAGCCGTAGAGCTGACCCAGCTGCTCCAGGATCCACTCCTCCAGCACCAGCTGCTTCCCAAGCTCTTTACGGTCGTATTTCACTGTCACTTTTCCCTGCTGGTGTCGCCGCCGCTGCTGCTGCTGAACCTGCCCGGCAGCGGCTGTCGTGGCCACCGGCGCCGAGTCCTCCCAGGAGGATCCCGAACCGCTGCTGGAGCCGGTGCTGCCATCGGCGCAGCCCCGGGGGCTCTGGAAGAAAACCCGCGCGCCGCCGCCGGCCCCGCCGGCCGCATCCCTGCTGCCAGTCACCACCGACAGGTCCCCGTGCGCCCGAACCCGACTGTGGCCAGGAGGAGGGGCGGGCGGAGCGCGCCCAGCGCCGCTGTCACCTCGGGCCCGGCAGCCGCGTGCGAAGAGCTCCCCAGCACCTGCTCCGCCATATATTTCTGAAGTATAAACAATCTGACACAGAAATTTCATTTCTAGGCATATGTATACTCAAGAGAAGCACTTGAAAGTATGCACAATAAAACATATAGAAGGATGTTCATGGCAGCATTGTTAATAATAATAAAAAATAGGAAATAGATATTTAACAATCTAAAAAATATGAACTATTCATTTAAAGAAATACTACACAGCAGTTAAAAAGCATGAGTTTCCTCTATATGCACTGTTTTAGGTAGAATGACACGATATTTGTTGAATAAAAGAACCATACTGTAAATTAATATGCATAATGTGATCTTTTTATGTAACATGAATAAACTATAAATATTCTAGGTCAACACACAACACAGAATGCAATGCACACCACAATGAAAATCATGATAATAGTTTACCTCCTAGAAAGCAATGATCAGTGGAGGTATTTAGACTTATAGAGACTTTTTTTAAACTCAGATAATATAATGATGCATTACTTACCTGAAAAGAAAATAATTAAAATAAGACCTGTCCTAAAGAAACTGATTTCAGGACTATCTGGACAATGAGAACTCTAGTATTTCTCTCTCAAGCATACTTTTCCATCCAACTACCCTGAACTTCCAGGAGTTATATCCCTACTTCATGTTGTTTTGGGGGACATTCAACCCAATGCCCTTCTTATCCTAGAGATAAGTCCACAACCCAATCTGGCCCATCAACATCTCTAACCATATGGCCACATTTTTTGTTTCAGGTATTATAAATACTCGATACAAGGCCATCAGATCATTGTTTTCTATTAAGCTACTTTGGGTTGAAATTCTATCAACTTGCATTCAAAAGAGTTCTAACAAATCCAGGGAGACATATACTTAATCAGGTATTTTCATTAGAATAAGCCAAGTAAACATAAGAGAAACACAATGGGAAGTGATATATTAAAGACAGACTGTAGGTCAGGTGCGGTGGTTCATGCCTGCAATCCCAGCACTTTGGGAGGCTGATGGGGGTGGATCATGAGGTCAAGAGATCCAGACCATCCTGGCCAACATGGTGAAACCCCATCTCCACTAAAAATACAGATACTAGCTGGGCGTGGCAGTGCGTGCTTGCAATCCCAGCTACTTGGGAGGCTGAGGCAGAAGAATCACTTGAACTCAGGAAGTGGAGGTTGCAGTGAGCCTAGATCATGCCACGGCACTCCAGTCTGGGCAACAGAGCAAGACTCTATCTCAAAAAAAAAATAAAGAAACCTTGGAAGGAAACAAAGGACAGATGGATACAGTTTTTTGAAGAATCTTTTATGAAATGTTCCTATCCAATGGATTCTAGTTTCCCTGTGAATGGTGATGCCAGCACATCTGCTGAGCAAGTGGGTATGGCCTAAACTTGAGAAAAGTATAGGTTTGAAATACATTTGAGTAGCAGGGGTAAGAAAGTAGACTAAGGAAAAATGACTAAAACTCCATTTGTATTGTTTTCTGTTAGTAAGCACAGGATAAGTATTTTTTGGATGAATGAGTGAATTATTTCCAGGTAGTGCTAAGGCTGACCATGCATTTATCATGGTGTCAATAGACTTGATTGTAAGATTTAATCCAATACTGACTGGTCATTTGTAGGAAGACATTTTTGGAAAAGGCAGAGAGATGAGATTTTGTTAGACAGGAAGGATTAAAGGGAATTGGATGAGGCATATTTCAAGCAGAGCTTTTTAAATATTGGTTATAGGATAGACCATGAAGTCTGCATTTAGAAGGGAGGAAAATAAGGCAAGAACATAGTAGATAGATCAGTAGAAAAATTAATGACCCAGTGTGACAATTTGACAAATTGAGAGCCTAAGTTGGAAGGGTAGGAGGATGAGGTCAAAGGGTCGAATGTCAGGCTGTATCATTACAGATGTAGAGGTGGTTTTGATGAGGCTGGGCATGGTGGCTCACGCCGGTAATCCCAGCACTTTAGGAGGCCAAGGCAGGTGGATCACTTGAGGTCAGGAATTCGAGACCAACCTGGCCTACATGGTAAAAACTTGTCTCTGCTTATAAATAAATAGCCAGATATTGTGGCACATGCCTTTAATCTAAGCTATTCAGGAGGCTGAGGCAGGAGAATGGCTCAAACCCAGTAGGCAGAGGTTGCAGTGAGCCAAGAACATGCCACTGCACACCAGCCAGGGTGAATAAGCAAAACTTCGCCTCCAAAAAAAGATGTGTTTCTGATAATAACTTAGATGTTTCTGATGATAGCTTCTGGGTTTGGCAGTAACTGAACTGGAATGGAGTTCAAGAACCCTAAGACGGAATGACAGAGGAATTAAGAGGCCAGGTTATTGGCAAGTCTCTCTACATGGATGTTTGGGTCCTCCATTGATTCTCTACCTCCACAAGTTCTTTACCCTGGGCTTCATCCCAATTTTGTCCTTCTTAAGGCCTTCAGGGAACCTGAACTATTTCTGCAATCCTAAGTTTCAGACCCTGCCAGTCAGTGGCATAAGCATGAACAGGAAAACAGAAGGATGGTTGTGTGAGGGAGCTGTAGTGGGCATCTGTTGTTTTGTTTTGTTTCGACACCAAGCATTCACAAATTTTTCTGGAAAACCTGTCTCAAGTGCCCTCTAGAAAACAAACCTCATGGTCAGGCACGGTGGCTCACACCTGTAATCCCAGCACTTTGGGAGGCCAAGGCAGGTGGATCACCTGAAGTCAACAGTTCAAGACCAGTCTGGTCAACGTGGTGAAAACCTGTCTTTACTAAATATACAAAAATTAGCCGGATGTGCTGGCGGGCACCTGTAATCTCAGCTACTTGGGAGATTGAGTCAGGAAAATTGCTTGAACCCAGAAGGCTGGGGTTGTTAGCTGAGATCGTGCCATTGCACCCCAGTGTATGCAACAAGAGCAAAACTTCGTCTCAAGAAAAAAAAAAGAAAACTCACCTCATTTGTTAGTTCCAGTCTACGTAAGTGGAGTTGCCTTCTCTTCAGACCCCTAACATTTTAAGGTGGGTAATGTGCACACTCTTGGCCATAAGGAGCATTCTGTAATGCTCCATAGTGAGCCCCCAAATATCTGTAATACTCATGCATAGTCCAGGTCTCACCTCCGGATCATGAGCTGCGGGTGTTCTAGACAATATCGATTATATTCCACTAAGTCCATGAAGATCATAGGTGACACCTCCATCCTGATAAGTGCACCGTATACACTAAGGGAAGATCTTCTATGTTGCCATCAACATGGCTGGAGAGAAGGCATAAAGATCATCTTCTTTAAAGAGAGGGAGGTCATGCTTGAAAACAGTCCTGCTTATACTATTACAGTAATTTAAAAATAGAACCGTGTACACTTCTGGCAAAATGGCATCTCTAATCTCTGCAGTGCCCTGGTAAACCTCAAGGGGGTGGTGCCTAGATCCAGATTGAGAAAGGGTCGTGATATGGACATGAATGGGGCACAAACCTTTTTCCACCAGCAGGGTCATCCTTTCCTATCTTCACCTTCTTCTTACTTTCTCATTCATTCTAAGGTGCTTTTTTCTTTATTCTCAGCTTAATTTTACCCTATGTGGTAGGTGGTTGCCTGGTCAACATGGCTGCCACAGACAGATAAAGGATCGTTCTGCTCTGCAAAAATGTCACCAATCAGCCGGGCACAGTGGCTCACAACTGTAATCCCAGCACTTTTGGAGGCCGAGGCAAGCGTATCATTTGAGATCAGCAGTTGAAGAGCAGCCTGGGCAACATGGTGAAACTCTGTCTCTATACAAAAATAAGCCAGGCATGGAATTACAGGGGCGTACCTGTAATTCCAGCTACTCAGGAGGCTGAGGCAAGAGAATCACTTGAGCCTGGAAGACGGAAGTTGCAGTGAGCTGAGATCACACCACTGCACTACAGTTTGGGCGACAGAGTGAGACCCTGTCTCAAAAAACAAAAAGTCATCAATGCAGGCAGCCTGGAGAAATACCCACGGAGGGGACTACTTCCCCACAGTGACTTTTTAGTAGAAGAGCCTCAACACTGAGGTCAAAACATGCTTCTCTAAATTATAAGCATGCTCTGTTTCTCAGATTCTTAAGCAGTACCCATGGTGTTCCTGACAATGGGTTACCGCAACCAGCAATACCCTCAACACTCCACCAACTTACATGACCCTCTGGTAACTGAACACTTTTTGAAAATAGTGACTAAACTATTATTTCTGAAAAATATACCTGTCCTTAACCCTCTCTTCACAAACGGAAGGCCTGTCTTCCTCACTGCTCTAAATATGAAGCAGTGAATGGAGAGGAACGTGCAGGCTGCCATATCATATCAGTAAGTCTCAAGCAAAGAGGCAGAAAAAAGCCCATCTCCTCAGACTCCATCAGGGAGAGAAGGGGCTTTCTGAGACACAGGATACCCATTCCTCCACAAGAGCTCCAGGGAATTGGTCACCTTTTAGAAGTCAAAGGAAGCAGTCAGTAAGAGCTGAACTAACTCCTACCTTTCACTAAACACAAGCTTGGGTTACTCAAAATCTATACCCCACAACACAGTACATGGAAAAGACATAATTCTTATTAGAACATTTACTGGGGAGAACCAATATTTGACTAGAGTCAAATGAAAAGATGGTGTTCAGAGACAAACTGGCCTCAGGATCGAGATTGGGCTTTGCTCTCTGAATGTGATGTGGTGGGAGAAGGTAAAAGGGAAGCTGTTGGGGTGGGGAATGGTCTATAGGGAACTTGGAATGCAGGGGAGGAACAGGCTTTGGTGGCAGAGAATCCCTCAGCAGTGAGAGTGAAAATAAGTCAGCTAAAGGGGTGATCAGGTCAGGTGAGAGAATTAAGGGGGGTGGTGGAGAACGGTCAGGACAAGGGGACACTATTAGTCTTCTGGAGGGGTGGCTGAATCTTTCTGGGACTCCCAACACAGCACTCACTGGATCTCAGCAGCTGTTCTGTTACACACCTCACAGAGGGGATCTGGGCATAACAGTTGACGAAAGCAGGCAGTATCACGGGGACTGCAGAAAGCAGGAGGCCCGATGCTGCAGCCAGGACTAGAACAAGGAAAGGAGGGTCTGTTAGCCTGGCAGGGGTGGGAACCCTGGTGCCTGCTACCTGCTTCACATTGCCCCCCACCTATGACCTCATCATGCACTCTAGGGCCTCTCAACACATTCATTCACATACACGTTCCTATGGCTACCCACTCCCACAACTACAGGAGGCTACAAGAAATCCCTGAGGTGAATAGAACTTGCTAAAAAAAGGACTGGGGTGGGAACAGGACAGAAGGAAACAATTAATCACCTTTTCAGAAAAGAAACCAGCTTCCTTTCCTCTTCTGCTGCTTTCTGGAAGGTTATCTGGTCTGGGAAACCATAACAGTATGTCATATGTAATGAAAGTAGAGGCACAGGGATCATACAGAAGTCGCTCTGCAGAAGATCTTTGGGATATTCAACTCCGATAGCCCCAACTATCAGTAGAAAAGGGCAAATAGTCATTGATACTATTAACAAGTTCACATGTGTATGTGGCATCATTTATAAAATTCCTTCACATACATTACCCCATGTGATGCTCAAAACCACCATTGGAAACACAGATGTCAGTAATTACCTCCAGGAGAAATCTGAGCACCAAGGAAGTCAAAGTACTTACGCAAAGTTGTGAGACAAGCTCTGGTTCCAAGCCAGCCAGTAGTCATTCCTTGATATCTAACTTGCCCACGAATTGGGCAACACCCAGTGCCCAGGTCTATCACTCTATCATGCCTATGGATGGGCAGAGCAGGGCCTATGAGCAGTGTCTCAGGTCTGATCGCTTTTCCCTAAGCCTCTCTGCTGAGTGCTCTGTTTTCTGAGACTGTATCTAGTAACTGACATTCTAAGAAATCATGGGCCTGAGTCGTCCTTACAGAAACAGGAAGGGTCACCCTCAAAACTCAGATAGAGCAGGCTGACCTTATCTTTAGATGTCCCACGTTTCTCTCTCCTCCTGGCTCTGCCCTGAAGCTGAGAACAAAAGAAAGACAATGAGAGGCTGGGACTCATTTATCTCACTCTCTATGAAGCTCATTCATTTATTCATTCATTCACTCATTACACAAGCATAATGTGATTCCCTAATTAATGCTAATATGTTCCTGTTTTCGATTATTAAAGTGATCAAACATTTCTAAGTTTTCCTTCCCTGAAAAACTCAAAGAGGATTTTGTCTGTGAGAGTCACACTTGATGTGCTCCGTTAGCAGTCCTCAAGGAGGGCACAGACTCAGAGGGCAACAGTCACAACTGTGCTCCCTCATAGGAAGAGTGTCCCAGAGACAGAGCTCTGGCTCCAGCCTCTGCTCAGAAACTCTCAGCATTGCTCCCCTGGTCAACCCAATATGAAGGAAGGCTTGACTGAATGAAGGTGACATGGGAATATGACTCATGATCAAATTTCAGCAGAAATTGTTCTTCTTCGGAGAGACCACATTCTCTATGTAGTCCAATCGGGGACCGATTTACTGTGTTTGGAATTTTATCTAGAACTCTCCATCACAGCCAGATAGGTAGTCTATGAGCTTCAGATGGAAACTTTAGTCCTCCTGAAGCCCTAAGTCTACCCAGCCTCTTCCAAAGAAGATGAAATTCTATCTTCTCTTCAGACTTCCCATCTAAGCCCATCTCTCTGTACCAACCAAACTTACTTAGAAATGTGGGAATAGGATTGGGAAACCACAGGGAATCTCCCTTGGGTGTTCACCCACGGTTCCTTACCATTGGGATGTCATTATTTTTCCCGGGGGGTGACAAATAGAGAGTCAATAGCACGTAGAACAAGTACAGCATAAACAACCCCAGCCCAGTCAAGCAGATGAAGTCGGGGTCAATATCCAAGCAATGTGCCAAGCCAGAGCTGAGCCCTGACTCAGTACAGCTGTTCAGAAAAAAGAGGATATTCCCCATGAGGTGAATAGCATGGCTGCCTGAAGCAACTGAGCCCTGAGTTTGCCCAGGCTTACCTATAAGCCCAGGCCTGCATCATAGAGCATGGAAGTCACAAAGGGTTTCTAAGGGTGGAGGGAGCAATAAGAGGAGGGTGTGTCCACAGTCTTGACCTCACCAGCCCAGTTCCCACCCCTCCTGTGCCCTCCAGGTCCCTCTGCTCTACCCTCCCACTCCATTTCCCAACTCTATCCTTTCTTCATGTCATATCTTTATTTTAGTGGAATTTTCTGTTTGCTCCAACTGTAAACCAGGTATTACCCAAGTCCTGCTTTACTGTTTGGAGCCCGTAACTTCAACCCCACCAACACCACAGCCTTGAAAGCCTGAAATACTGCCTGTACCCAGGCACTGGCACTCTCAGGATCCCAACATCCTCCAATCCCTCTTATCTACAGAATGTTTTTGCCTTACATTAGCCCAGATGTGAAACTTAACGTGCCTTTATACTTACTTTGTTTTGTGAATGTCAACAGTAAATTTTTTATTTTAAAGTCAGCCTTAACTATTTCCAATCAGAGGGACTGACTCAAACGATTAAAACTAATATTATCAAAGAAAAGGAGCTCATTGTCCAATTTGGGTTTTTGAGAAAAGCAGCTTTTTATGGTAAATTAACCACGAGACAGGAGTCCAGCTCAAATCTATCCCGTGTGCTGGCTTTCATGCAGTCATTCTGCTAGAAAAGGTTTAGGGAGTGGTCTCTGGGATTAATAGGTGATCAGTGGAAGAAAGGAGGTCTGTAAAGTCCTCAGGCATGCACAGTTGTTTTTAATGCTACCTCATGGATCGCACGTGCACATTTGTGGTAGAAATTTGGTCTATGACTTCAGCCAGCTTCTTTCTGTGCAAACTCCAGTTAGTCTCATTAATTTTAATCCATTTTAGCCAGTTTTTTTATTTCAAAAGCAGAGGGAGTTTTGTCATTTTTTAGCAAGTTGTTGTTTTTTCAAAAATCTGCTATTCTGTAAACGGATGATATTTGTTAGTCATTAGTTTCTTTAACTCTCTATGGTATGGTTTCACTAATAATTCATTATTTAACATCTACAAAACTAAAACCAGTATAAAATAAATGTGTATAATTAAAACTTCAAAGGATCTTGGGGGTGAATTGATAGCACTTATTTTTCTGATGTTAGTGAAGTTTCAACTGTTTAAAGGCTTTTGGAGCATATTGTATACACAAACACACATATATATCGACCTAAAAGGAAGAAGTTAAGGCAAATTTAATATAAATAGATAATTCTTCTGGGTCAAGCTTGAAGATTGCAACCTGGGAACACAGACTCCAAGTCGCCCTAAGTGTATGCTCCAACTAGCAGTAGTTACAAGTAAATTTTTAAAGTCAAAAAAGGGGACAAGGAGTGGGCTGATACAAAGTTGTTATCAGGAATTCTCATTGGTTTACGAAGTGATATTGATTAGTGTTTGGCTATACATTGTTAAGTTATAGGGTGTGGGTTATAGTGTCAGGTGTGGGGTTATTGGGTTAATGTATAGCTACATGTGGCAATAGCAAGCAGTTTCAAGAGATGAATACACAGCTCAAAGAGGAAGTACAGCTGTGTCATTTTAATATGTCTCTAGGCCTGATAACTTAAAAACACTCATATTCCTCAGATAAAAGTTCTTTTCTTTACAAACACACTCACACACCCATGCTTTGACAAATCAATCAGTATTTTCAAATCCAGAATCATTTCCTCCTTTTATTTCAATCTTTTATTTGTCATTTGGACAAGCCACAACACAGACAGTCCCAGCCCTCTTCATCAATTTCATAACCAGTCTGTGACTCCATTAAACCAGATATATGTTACAATGTGCTAAGCTATCATGATATTCCCTGTGCTATGCTCAGTAGCTAAGATATTGCCCTTTCACACTGGCAGTCAGCTTCAATTCCCTGCTTAGAAACTAAATTCTTTCTGGTTTAATATTTGCATGACCTCATGTAGTCTCTTCTCCTCCACAGACTATTTAAAATTTTCCTTTTAGGTCTTATGTTCAAGTATTTAATCCATCTTGGGTTGATTTTTGTATAAGGTATAAGAAAGGGAACATCCCTCTTTTTAAACAACCAGTCATTTTACTTCAGGACAAGAATTTACCATACAGCATCCTTATTTTAATATAAAATCTCTTTTCTTTATAACCTTCTTTGCATAGCTAGGGGGCATAGCTAATTACATACATCTCCAGGCCTTATGTAGAATTTAATGTTTCCTGAATAATTGAACAATTTACAAAAGTCAAAGCAGCTTATGACCTTAAAGAAAATGTGGCACATATATACCATGGAATACTATGCAGCCATAAAAAGAATGAGTTCATGTCCTTTTCAGGGACATACATAATGCTGGAAACCATCATTTTCAGCAAACTAATACAAGAACAGAAAACCAAACACCACATGTTCTCACTCATAAGTGGGAGTTGAACAATGAGAACCCATGGACATAAGGAGGGGAACATCACACACTGGGGACTGTTGGGGGTTGAGGGGATAGGGGAGAGATAGCATTAGGAGAAATACCTAATGTAGACGATGGAGTGATGGATGCAGCCAACCACCAGGGCACATGTACACTTATGTAACAAACTTGCATGTTCTGCACATATACCCTAGAACTTAAAGTACAATTTAAAAAAAAGAAGATGTTTAGGGCAGGTCAGAAAGTCTAAATATGTTGTACATGGTCTGTGTAAGTCATGCAAGAATTTATGAAAAAGAATTTATGCCAGAAATGTCGTACAATTTAAAGGTGTTTAGGCCTCCTAAATGCCTAATGCTTCATAAAATGCCACTGTGACTCTTAACTGTACTGCTTTTCTGGTTTACAGCTAGGTAAGGCCTGGGACATGTGGAGTTAGATGTTGGAAAGAGTCAGGCCTTACCTGCATTTCTGTCTGGGTCCTAGACTCCACACCTAGTATATAATCTCTTACTTAATAAGGTTTTCACCAAAAGTAAAAGTTGCTAAGAGTTAACATTGTAATTTGTAATTGAGAGTACTGAAAAAATCGATTAAAATGCAAGGTGTGTAAGGAGAATGAAATGCGTGTTTTCTATGTAATTATACAAAGGTATAAGAATGTAAATTTTTGCCTAGGTTAGAGGGTTAAAGGATTGCTTTAAGTTAAATAATGCTAAAGGTTTGAACAAGTTCTGAAAGATTTATACAAAATTGATTGTTAGAGATTCTATGTGTGAACAAATTGGCTAAAGTTAAAATGGCATTATTCAGTTTCTTTCCCATAAATTGGACATTGGAATAGAAACACAACAGAAATTTCTCAGAACATTGTGCTGCTCTGAGAAAAAAAAAATTGTAAAGGATTTTAAAAGACATAAAAATCTTACTTTTTAGTCAAACTTTATTTAAAACTGAATAGATTTTTTAAATTATTAAAAACTAGCTTTAACATTAAAAATACACTAATAGAAACATAAAATTTGGGTTTTCTCTTTTAAAAAGAATTTTTATGTAATATTAAAAGATATTGAAAGATTTTTATTTACCTTTTAAATAAACTACAAAAGAAAAAGAGGGGGAAAAGAAAGAAAGGAGACAGAGTCAGTTGGCTTCATGTTATCTTCACTGGTTCTTGTTTGGAAAGCTGAGTCTCCTCTCTATCAAAATGATGTTTTTTCTTTTAAAAAAGTTTTGAGTTATCATTTTGGCTAAATGAATGACTTATGGTAACCTAAGATTCTGTTTTGTCATATCCAATGTTTTAAATCTTTGGTATTTAACAAACCTTTCAAAATCAAGCTCTAGATTATTATGCTAAATCAGCCAATACTAAAATTTTTTAAATATACAATTTGAATGGACACCATTGTCTAAGTCAAATTATCTATGATAACCCATTAGTTATCAGTGCTATGCACCCAACTTGGAGAAACAACTGATGTTCAAGAGGACATAAGTCCAGTGTTAAGCATGAACTCATGGAGAACCAGGACAGCCACCTTGTCCTTCTTGAGTCCTTAAAGCTTTAGTTATTAAAGGCTCTGCATTCCATGACTCATCAGGGAAGAGATAAAATAAACCAAATTGAATATATTGATGTGGTGAGTTATAAATTGCAGAAAAAGCTTATAACCAATGTTTGGTTCCATATTCTTGGGAAGACAATCAAAACTTTGGGTACATCTGGCTATCTGATGGGCCATATAAACATTTATAAGAAGATTTCATTCAATTTTGATTTTCAGTGCATGTTTTCTGGTTGTATAAGAGCTTTCCCATGCAAGAGAGCTGATGTTATAACAGTAGGTTATTATGCTACAGTTTACTTTCATCAGGTAAAGAAAGCTTTTTTATGGTTCACTGAGGACAATCCCTTCACAATCTAGAACCTGAAGACTGGATCCTCTGAGAACATCAGATAAAGACTGTCCTTGCCATCCACACTACAGCAAAACTGGAGCCTTGACCCTGAGCTTATAATCTTACAACTGAGATGGGTCCCTTCACACTCCTGGAACTGTACATCCATTGGAACCCATAAGGTAAAATTAACCAGGAAAGTTTATCTCTAGAAGATGACATCCTTGATGTGAACAGCTTTTCCCAAGATCATGGATCAAGACTTCTACTATCATGAGACTCTTATCTTTGAATATTTTTTTGTGCTTATGCCTCTGTGAACAATAGAAAAGAAAAGGAGGACTCTTATATGCATTGACAAGGTATATTTTTATTTGTGAAGGATTTTGCAGCCAGCCTTACACATGAATAGCCTTATACTTTAATAGATAAAAGATGAAGGCCCAATGTAGATGGGAAACTTCAGTGGTTCATACATTGCTTTATAATCAGTCAAAACTCCTCTTAACACAAAGAATGGATTAAAGAGAACATTGCCAATCCTAGGCCTTCACTCTTCTAGAAGGGCGTCATTTGTTAGGTCCCTTTTCTGTGATTTAGAATAAAAGAGACAATAATTAGAAATATCTCCCTCATAATAGGCTCTACAGCAAATTCGACTTTAAAGGCCATCATTACACAACAGACTTTAAGTTCTCTCATGAAAGTTATGCTAAGTAATAGAATTGGCTAAATGGAAAAGTACCTCTACAGCTGCTGACATTTGTGGCCTATGGAGAAACACATCAAATGTCTATTTTAAAAATTCATTTGTAGAGGATAAATAAAAAATTTACTTCATCATGTGAGTAAACTTTTTAGCTAATCCTTTAATCTATTTAATTTTATGTGGTTTGATTTATGGGGGCGCTGGGTAAGATGCATACTCCAAACTCTTGGTATTATCTTCCCAAGAGTCATAACAGTCTCCCTGGTGTGCTGTATTCTCTCGAAGATTTAAATGTTTGCATGCAGTCATCTCTAGAACATCA